GGCCGAAGCCAAGAATCAAGTGAGATTATTTCTTCCCTAGGCGAATTCACATGCTTCTTTTGATTCTTATGTACATTTCAAGCAATCAGCGAGAACTGTTTTCAATATTGGCATTTTTCGTTTATGTTCCTTGGCAGTTGTGGTAGATAGTTACTTTCTCTTACTGGCTACCAGCATTATGCGTGAACTTTGCGATACGATATCACCTTTTTCTCGAGTATACAGTAACCTATATTATTATGTGGTGTAGTTTGCACCGTTAATATGTTTCGACCGTTTTACTGTTCGGTCTCCTCGGTAGTGTTAAAATAAGTGGTTACAATAATACTATGCAATATAATAGAATAAGTGCAGACTTTCATTTTTTGTCGCTACAAATAATTGTGAGATAGAAATCAAAGCATCTGTTGTACGTTCTAGAACAGATTTAAGCATTATTTCTCACTGTTGGATGTTTTATGTCCTTCTACTTTTTGAGCTGTGTAAGCTCGTAGATACATTCGCAATCGGATGTTTTTGTTCAGCTTGCGTACCGTTGTGAAAAACAAGGTCAGCAAGAAGGTATTCATTTATCTACAAATTCTTCAAGTGCATAAATCATTGCACTCAGTACGTGACGCAAAGTGTTTTTTCTAATATACAAGCACTGGCTCTCAACGGTGCTGATTTTTCAGGACCTTCTGCTCCCCTTCCCCTCTTCTTTCCAGCAGCTCTACGAAGAAGTTATATAAAACAGCAATTAACTGCCTGTCGAACCATTTCATTCTCATTTATTCTGATGATACACGGAACTACATCTTCATAATTTCTAATTATTCTTCATAATTTTGTAGTGATTTGTTACATGCAGATTCTTTAATTTTTTGTATTTACGTATGACTTAATGTCCACAAATTCTTCACTAGATAAACCGGATTGCATTTCGCAGGTCGTCTGCCGTTTCCTATCGAAATATCTTGACAAGCGTTCCCGAAACTAGGGTTTCTAAGTTAGAAAATGGACTTCGTGTTGCTACCGAAAATTCTGGGCTGTCTACTTGTACGGTAAGTCTGTTTAAATATCTGTTCGACCTAAGGTTATGACATCTTTTATCATATATTTTATTGCTGTTTTATGAACGTGTTTTTTAAATTACATAACTTTCGGTTTGCATAATAAAGTGATGGTTTTAGTTTTGTTTTAGGTCGGCTTGTGGATCGACGCGGGCAGCAGATACGAAAACGACAAAAACAACGGTGTGGCTCATTTCCTGGAACACATGGCTTTCAAGGTAATTGCTGGTGATTCCATCTTTTTGTTCTAGAATGGGTTTTACTAAAGTGTAATTTTGTAGGGGACTGGCCGTCGAACCCAAACAGAACTCGAGTTAGAGGTGGAAAATATGGGTGCCCACCTGAACGCATATACCTCTCGCGAACAGACCGTTTATTACGCAAAGTGCTTTTCCAAGGATATAGAAAAAGGTATCGTTTGTTTTTAAAACAACTTCCAAAACATATAATGTCAACTATGTGAAAACATTAATATCTTCAGTAGATATGTGTTAAGTCTGGTTGGTTGACTAATTTTCACAGTATTCGGCATAAAACTAAATTTCAGGCGTTGGTGGCCCCTTTATATAGGCAGACTTCTGGCAGACACCCATTTTTTGAATGTCAGATAATCATGAACTTGATTTAATTTTGCTTAGGATTACCGCTATTCCAGTAATCAGCCAGGAATGTCTGAAATGTTGCGGCAACCAATCACCTTCTTTGTCGCGCAAGTTTCACACTCGAATATTCCACAGTATTTCAAATGCCGGCACGTTACAGTTGCAAACACAGCTTCTCTGGATTGTGTTGTCCGTTGTATTGGTAGATTTTCAACACTTTGCTATATGGCACCGGTTATTGCATCGTAGAAGTAGAAGGAAATACTTCTCTCACAAAGCAAATGTCTCGAACTTGT